TATATATATATATATATATATATATATATATATATATATATATATATATATATATATATATATATATATATATACTTTGGCACTATTTAACAGAAGTGAAAACATATCTTTTGAAATCATTATATTTAAGTTAATTAAATTAATTTCAGATTTTTTTTATTTGTTATAATTTCTCTACTGTTTTGCTGAATGCACTAAATTCCATAAGTACCTTTTCCTCTGTGAAAATATTAAAATAATCGATGAAGGAAGCGTTAAAGATTCTGAATCGCAAAGAAGTGTCGGAATGGAATTGGAACCGGAATCGATTCCCATATGGAACACAAATGGCTCCGTCACCTTTTCACGGGAATGACCCTTAAATAGCGTGTAGCAGTGGGTGTGTCTCCAATGAAATGATCCTCGTAATAAGTATTACCAGGTCATATACTCAAACCACAACCATTAAAACACATTCCAACCTGAGAAGTTCCTGTTCAGAAGTGGATATCGTTCTAAGAAGTAACACGAAGAACGCGTTATTATTCTAAAATCGCTCTAGTCCGGACTCTTTATAGTTCCTGTGCCGCGGTTTCCACACGGACTTGTTTGACAGGAGCGCCATGTGTCTGCTTGAGATGGCGGCCAGATCGGAGAACGCGAGGGCCGAATAAACAGTCAACCTGCGCGTCTACAACCTCCCGAGAAGCGCAAGCCGTGTTATTTACCCCATATCTACACCCTCTAGAAACGCCATGGAAGGCGGGAAACCCACCCTGCCGCTGGTTTACCAGGCCGTGCAGGCGCTGTATCACGACCCGGACCCTGCCGGCAAGGAGCGCGCCTCAGTCTGGCTGGGAGAGCTACAGAGATCGGTGCGTTCATTAGCGGGCCTACTGCGCCACAGCACCCTCACTCACTAATGAACCTGTACAATATGCATTGCGTTAAAAATAGTGTCCACTGAGTCCAGTGAAGCTTTGTAAACCATAAACATTAGCCGTGTTGAGAAGTGGAGGTGGTCACATGCTTTTGGACTGATGTGGGGGTTTATTTGTATCCATTGCCAAATCCATTCAGCTTGCCTGTGGTTTGATGGTTTTAGATCGAGTTTGGGGTGGGTTTAAGCAGCAAGTTTAGCAGAAATAGTTCTTGTGAACACAAGAACTTGTGCGAGGAGATCTAAATCGGGTTTATTATCTAGACTACCATGTTAGAAAGTTGGTGACTGTTACCCCCATGGTTACTATGCCAGGTAATACAAGCTAGGAGCACACGCTAAACATGGGCAAAAATATTGCGCCTCTTAATTTACAAGCATCAACTAGCAGTGCTGGGTAGATTACTTACAAATTATAGTCTGTTTCTGATTCCAAATTACATGACGAAAATTGTAGTTCATCAAGTCACCTTTATTTGTGTAGTGCTTTTAACAATACAGATTGTGTCAAATAGGGGTGTGGGATATGATGATTTTTGATCGTGGACGATAAAAATATCTCGACGACCTGCTTTTGGAGAAATATCGTAGTATCGTGCTACAGAGCACATTCTATCAGCTGCAGTTCTGGCGCCGCCTTATCAAGATATTGTACAACACCACATACATTCACATCAGTGTTAACTCAGCGGTAGAGTTACTCTCACGAGACACTGCACTTACTCACAATCACAAAAGTACATTATTTGCATATACTTTAAAGCCTTGCCAGTTAAACATTTCATTTGCGCGCTCTTCGTGCGCTATTTCTGAGAGCAAAAAAGACTGGAATACTATTTTCCATGTTCTTCAAAATAGCTTTTATGTTCAGCAGAAGAAAGAAACTCATTCAGGTTTAAAACAACTTTTGAGTGAGTGAATGATAGTATAAAAATAAAACACTGACAGAATTGACAGACAGATGAAATAATTTTTATTTTTGGGGGAATTATTCCTTAAATATTAATAAAACAACAAAACACAAAGAGAAAAATCACTCACTAGCCTACACTTGCACAGTGGTCACTCTTCTGGTCCGGACACATTGATATCGGCAAAACAATTTCAATCCTTTGTTTTGCACTTTGCAGCCTTAACAAGACGCCTAGCCTGCCTGTCCAAAGTTTAATGGTTATCACATCCTTAAGCCACTTAAAGCATGCAAGATACGTGACTCCCCATGCAGGGCTCAAGGAGTATGGTTAATTATTATTGTTTAAAATTTTAGCTGTAGATTTGTAAGTGTTTGAAAATGTGTTTTTTTTATATAACTTGTATAAAAAATATATTGGAAATAATTGTAGATGTTATAATATTTAAATTGGCAGAATTCTCAAAAGGAAGTTTGCAAGGCATAAAACCACATCTCTTCCTCTATTGAGCCATCATATGTTGCTTTTACTTTGCTAACTCCCTCATCCTTTGTTCTGTGCGGTCATTCCACCCATGCAGATCATTTTAGTGGTTTAGAGTCTTCGTAAACATGTAAATGAATGGTTTATGATTCTGAGCTTGGCTGTTGGTGTATTTCCATGATCAGGTGCTGAGCAAGATTTTGTGCTTCCTGTACAGGAAGGAGTGCCAGAGGACACTGATGATTTCGGCGAGTTCAGGATGAGAGTGTCTGATCTTGTGAAAGATGTAATTTTCCTAGTCGGCTCCATGGAGTGTTTCTCGCAGGTAGAATTTATACTAATAGAAACATGAACTGAAAGTGATTTGAGGAAAAGGCCTCAATGATTTTAAGATTTTGGATGATTTACTGAGAAACGAAAGGGAATATTCAACCTTACCATTCTTTTTATAAATGCCTTGTGTCTTCTCATCAGCTTTATTCGACTCTGAAGGAGGGAAACCCCCCATGGGAAGTAACTGAGGCTGTTCTGTTCATCATGGCTGCCATAGCTAAGAGTATCGATCCGTAAGTATCGCTTTCAGTCATGATCTGACAGCTTCATGTTCAAGACTATTGCTTTCACCAATCAAATTAACACCTGCGGCTGCAAACTTATTTAGTCATGCTATTGCAGATTATATACATTTCATTATCTTATTGTCGTGTTTTGAGGCTTAAAAGGTCACTCAAACCTTTTTGTAGTATTTAATTTTATATATATATATATATATATGGATTTTATGTAGTTATTTATTTGATATATATTTTACTTTTTTTTTTTTTGCAGTGAATATAGGCTTTGATGCTAATATGACTTTAAAAAAATAATAAAACATCTGACATTTTGTATAGCTCTGGTTATTGATGCAGATTTTCTGATTCATTTAGATTGTGATTCACAAGCTCTCAATTTGATTCTTATTTGATTTGGTTCTAATTCTTTTGGATATTGTTTTGTCCATTTTGGTTAAATATGAAAAATTCTCTTTCTGCTAATACTGTAACTATATAGGGCAGTGTTTCAGACTGATTAACTTTCAGGGCTCTAGACTGCGACCAACATTTTTTTTGCATTCAACATTTTTTGAGAATGTGCGAGTAAAAATTTGACTTGGTTGAATTTGTGCTAGTGCATGACCTGCTCTGCTTCAAAGCATCTAGTCGATATATGTAATGGTGTATGCTATGCCTCGTCTTATTCGTTTTTGTTAATAAACATTATGTAAGGTAGTTTGTCATTAGCTGTTTTATTGTTTATTGTTCTTTTCATTAAGAATGAGTCAATATCCATCCATTTCAAGCATTTGTTTTAGTCTTAAAAAGTGGATGGTGTATAGTAGATGTAAGTACAACAGACAATCTTTTCTCGTAAAATGTGACATCAAGATCGCAAGTTAGAAAGTGGGGTCTGAAGCCTGGCTTATAACATTGCAAAAGAGGAACTCCCATTCACAAAATTCAAATCTCAAATAATACTGATGGAAAAAAAGCTGGTTGAATGAATGTTAAAAAGAAGACCAAATCATGTGCTGGTGCGACCAACAGAGAAAGTTAGTTGCAGCAGCACAACCAGTGGGAAGAATGAGTCTAGAGCCCTGTTTATTAAGCTCTTCTTAAGAATCTTCTCAGAGTCATTTACTTAAAGAACTGGACTACACTGTTTGCACTCTGTTTTTGATTCACTAAAAAGAACTGTTCCATAAGAATCATTTGCTCATGAATCGGGCTACACTGGTCACTTTGGGTTTGATTTGCTTAATAGAATCATTTTTTTTTCCTGAATCTGGTTGATTGTTTGTTTTTGTCTGCAGCCCTTGAGGACACATCACTAGAAAGCCATTATTTTGCAGGATCAATCAAATGAAGATCACAATTAATCATGACATTTTTGTTGTGTTTTAATCATGAAAGTTTGATTGTAACTCTAAAATGTCTCCCTCCCCCTCTGCTGGTTCCTAGTGAGAATAATCCCACTCTGACGGAGGTGCTGGAGCAGGTAGTGTTGCTTCCCGAGACGGTCCACATTGCCGTTCGCTACACCAGCATCGAGCTGGTTGGCGAGATGAGCGAAGTGATTGACCGGAACCCTTGCATGTTAGGTGACTGTCACAATCTGATTTACTACGTCATCTTCACTCGCTGGATGTTTAGATTCTCTTTGTGTATTCATGATGTCTGTTTCGGGTTGGCAGATCCTGTTTTGAACTTCCTGATGAAGGGTTTGCGGGAGAAGCCGTTGGCCTCTGTGGCAGCTAAAGCCATTCACAACATCTGCTCAGTGTGTCGAGATCACATGGCACAGCACTTCCAGGGCCTGCTGAACATCGCCCGCTCACTCGACTCATTCGCCCTGTCCACAGATGCTGCGGTTGGCTTGCTAAAAGGTGTGTTAAAGGGATAGTTCACCCAAAAATTTAAATCTTCTCACCCTCATGTCGTTCCAAAGCCGTAAGACCTTCTTTCATTTTCGGAACACAAATTAAGATGTTTTTGATTAAATCCGAGAGCTCTCTGACCCTCCCATAGACAGCAAGGGTCCTACCACGATCAAGGTCCAGACATGTAGCGAGGACATCAGTAAAATAGTCCATGTGACATCAGGGGTTCAACTGTAATTTTTTGAAGCTACAAGAATACTTTGAAGAATACAAAAATATTGACTTAATTCGACAATTCCAAAGATGAACAAAGGTCTTAAGGGTTTAGAAAGACATGAGGGTGAGTAATTAAAGGGTTAGTTCACCCAAAAATGAAAATTAGGCTGCATTTTACTCACCCCTGAGGCATCCTAGGTGTATATGACTTTCTTCTTTCAGATGAATCCAGTCGGAGCTATATTAAAAATGGTCTTTGATCTTTCAAGCTGTTTAATGGTACTCAGCGGGTGTTGCAGTGCTTCAGTCCAAAAGAAGTGAAATAAAACGCTCCCATCTATAAAAAAAAAAGTATCTCACACTGCTTCGAGGGTGAACAAAGGCCTCCTGTAGCGAATCCATGCGTTTTTGTAAGAAAAATATCCATATTCAAAACGTAATGATCACTTTAATGTAGCTTGTGCCAACAGTTGTACACTGAAGCAGTTCCGGGCTGATGATGTATGAGTTCAGCGTTGCGCATGTGCCGGTGAGTCTTGTGAAAGCCAATGTTTGTTTACAGGAGCAAAGGAAGCAAAGTTTCTTTACTTTAGCAAAGGAAAACCAGTCTCCACTTGGCTTATATCGAAATCTTCCGACATTCTTCTTTACAAATCCTCGTTTTGTACTTCTAATTTGTGACCGTTGTTTTGATCACTTCCGCGTGCGTCACTTCTGAGCAGCTCATGTGCAACGCCGACCTCATACATCATCCACCCGGCACTGCTTCTGTTTACAACAGAGCGCAAGCTAGATTAAATTGATTATTACATTTTAAATATGGTTATTTTTCTTACAAAAATGCAATATATTCGCTACAGGAGGCCTTTGTTCACCCCCTGGAGCTGTGTGAGACATTTAAAAAAAATATATGTTTTTTAGTGGATGGGTGCTTTTTATTTAACTACTTTTGGACTGAAGCAAGATGCCTTGGGGGTGAGTAAAGGGGTGAGCCTAATTTTAATTTTTGGGTGAACTAACCCTTTAAGCTTTGATTTAGTTCTTTACACGCTTCTCCTGTAGAGGTCGACTCTTTTCTGTTTATCATAGTCATGCCCTTGTTGTATGGCTGGTTTTGTTTAAGTGGTGTGGTTGGTTTGTCTCAGGCACAGCGCTGGTGTTGGCCCGCCTCCCCCTGGAGAAGATTGCGGAGTGTCTGAACGATCTGTGTGCGGTTCAGGTCATGGCACTGAGGAAGGTTAGATACTCGTGACTGTGTGGTCTGTATTTCTCACTGTCTTTGGTTAATGCAATAAAGTAATGTGTTGTCTTTGTGTCCAGCTGCTGACTCAGGACTCCAGTAGTGGGAAGTTATCAGACCCCACTGTGTGGCTGGACAGACTGGCTGTTATCTTCAGGTTAGACTCTGAACATCACCACCATTGCCCTTTAAGCACAATATTGGACTTAGCAATTTATTGGGCTGTGAATATTTCTAGTTCCTTGAACTTTTTTTTTTTTTTTTTTTTTTCAACTTACACTCTTGAAAAAGATTTTAAAGTAATTTCTGGGAAGGTTTTAGTTGTTCGAATCGTTGATAATTTATACATTTTGAAAAATTTTGTATTTTGTTTGGTAATTAATTATTTTTTTTTAGTTTCTTTTTTAAATTTTTCTTATTTCGTTTGGTCATTTATTATAGTTGTTTTTAGTTTTTAATAATTTATTATTATTATGTACATTTTAACTTATTATTTATGGTTTTTGCCATGAAATAGCCATAGAAGTTGGCATAGTGGTTAGAAAAAAACACCCTTTTTTTTAATGGCTGTAGAATTTGTCCTCCTTGCAAATGATTGGTTTTATAGTTGTGAAAAACTGTTTAAAGTTTTGAAATGTTTGTGAAAATTACTAAGAATAAATAACAAAAGACATTAAATAACGTTTCGTCTGAATTCTACACCATATTGTCTTAAAGTTCATAATTTATTGCTCAAAGTTGAGCATGCTATTGGAAAAAAAGGTCATTAAATAGCATTAATTAATAAAAAAAAAATGCAGGTGTACATAATATTTCACAATCAAGTTAAATCCTGGCAGATATAATGGAATTCCACCCCCATTATATCCCATTAAACATTAATTTTCACTCAGAAAAATGTCACATTAAAGAAGGTAAATGTGTTGTGCTGTTTCAGTCCATGCTGTTTTTTAGAACATGTTCTTAAATGGTTACTTTTTTCTATTAGACACACAAACCCCATAGTAGAGAATGGACAGACACACCCCTGCCAGAAAGTCATTCAAGAGGTATGTTTAGCTGTGTGTCGAATGACGCGGTACTTTGTCTGTAAATGTTTCTTTCTGATCATCTCTGTTCTTTGTTGTAGATCTGGCCGGTGTTGTCGGAGACGTTGAACGCCCACCAAAATGATAACCGGATAGTGGAGCGCTGCTGCCGCTGCTTGAGATTTGCAGTGCGTTGCGTAGGCAAAGGCTCTGCGTCCTTATTACAGCCACTTGTTACTCAGGTTTGTCTTTGTGCCTTAAAAATACACGTCCACTGAAATGGAAAAGCCAGTGTGGATCTCAAAAAGATGTATTTGTGTTTCAGATGGTGAGTGTGTACCAAGTGTACCCCCACTCCTGTTTCCTGTACCTAGGCAGCATTCTAGTGGACGAGTATGGCATGGAGGAAGGATGCAGACAAGGCCTGTTGGATATGCTACAGGTAACCTAATACACACCAAAATACTTCAGTTTGTACCATAGTCTTATGTAGCTAGACTTCAAACTACATTTAGTCCACATTGTAGCCGCCAATTTTTGTGAAAAAAAAAAAAAGATTTGTATGTAGATGAGACGTCTCATTTTGGTGTCTGCATCAAGTATTTTTATATATATATATATATATATATATATAAGCATATTAAATGCCAGTTGAATGTGTTTTAATGTTTCAAATAACTTGTGAAAATAAAATGTTAAAATAACTTTCCATCATCATTCAGCGTTACAGATATATTTATGTAAAAATGAAAAATTGTCTGACTTGTTAGAATGTGTTATAGATGACAAAATTATTATTTTAAATGATTAACTGCTTACTGATAAATGGGTAAACCTAGTGGTTTGAAGGATAGTGGCAAAGATTGGTAAATTTAAAATGACAGTTTATATTAAACTTGAAAATGGTATAAAAGTTTTTCAGAACCAATGTTATGAAGCCAACGCTAATACAGAATGTTTTTTATTTTTGTTTCATTTTAATCTTGTACTGCAATGAATTATTAATATTAATGAGGAACTAAGAGTTATTGATCAGTAGCTGCATCTTTCCCTCTTACAGGCTCTCTGTATGCCGACCTTCCAGCTGTTAGAGCAGCCTAATGGACTGCGCAATCACCCCGACACAGTTGACGATCTTTTTCGACTCGTCACAAGGTAACCGTTCTGTGCTTCTGCAATAGTGTTAGAAAAACAAGCTCCAAATAAGTGACTTGCCACACAAAAATAACATGCATTAAGACTAGTGGTCGGCCGATATTTGGCGTTTTTCAAGTTTTAAGTTTATAAAGTTATAAATTTTTCTGTTTGGCCGAGTCGTTCGAGGCGGGACTTTTATTTTGATGGCGCTGAGAGCGGCAGCACATGAACACAGTGCTCATATTCTCCCTCTTGTTCGCCGTCATTGTCAACAGTTCTGTCTGATACGGATAGAAGTCTGTCTAATAAGCCGATAGAACTGTTAAACAAAGGAATCAATATGTATACAAAGTATTATAACTATTGCTTTTATATTATAAGTAATAGAAAGGCAAACATTATAATACTTTCTTGTTTTCCGTCAGCATTCAGCAAATATGCATTTATATCATTTAAACAAATCTTTGAATGACTAATGAACATTTAATTAAAAAAATCTTGCAAACTTAGTTAAATCCAGCTGTGAGATCTTGTGAAGTGTGCATTTGTATCCTGCATAATCGCGTGTACTCTGCATGACGGTCGGTCCGTGCGAATTGAATGTGGACAGAAGAGTTCAGCATCACGCAATCGACTAACTTTAAACTCACGATTTCAAATTATGCTGCGCTTCATGCTTTTGCCCACTGTCATATTCATGTCATTTTCACTGTGTGCTGTATGCTCTTGTTCGCCGTCATTGTCAACAGTTCTGTCTGATACGGATAGAAGTCTGTCTAATAAGCCGATAGAACTGTTAAACAAAGGAATCAATATGTATACAAAGTATTATAACTATTGCTTTTATATTATAAGTAATAGAAAGGCAAACATTATAATACTTTCTCGTTTTCCCGTCAGCATTCAGCAAATACGAATTTACATTTAAACAAATCTTTGAATGGCTAATGAAAATTTAATTTCACAAACCTTGCAAACTTGTCGAATCAAGTGAGATCTTGTGAAGTGTGCATGTGACCTGCATGATCGTATTCTCTACCTGACTTTCGGTCCGTGCGAATTGAATGCTTTAAACATTAAATTCGTGATTTCAAATTATGCTGTGCTTTATGCATTTGCCCACTGTCATATTCATGTCATTTTCACTGTGTGCTGTATGTAAAATGAGTGTTACCTTGGCTTTATTAAAAAAAAATATATACATATACATACATATATACACACACACACACAGTGGGGCAAAAAAGTATTTAGTCAGCCACCAATTGTGCAAGTTCTCCCACTTAAAAAGATGAGAGAGGCCTGTAATTTTCATCATAGGTATACCTCAACTATGAGAGACAAAATGAGAAAAAAATGATGAAAATTATAGGCCTCTCTCATCTTTTTAAGTGGGAGAACTTGCACAATTGGTGGCTGACTAAATACTTTTTTTCCCCACTGTATATATATATATATTTTTTTATTAAATATTTATTTATTTGTGGAAAATACTTTGTCATCTAAAGTATAAGTATGTTTATTTAACAAATGTATTTAATCCATTTTCAAATGATTTAAAATTTCTTAAATATTAATTAAAATAAATACAATTATATCGGCTTAATATTGGCCACCCTGCTTTCCAAGATATCGGCATCGGCTGTCAAAAAAACAATATCGGTCGACCACTAATTAAGATAAGCTATTTTCTTTCATTATTTCAGGTTTGTCCAGCGTAGTCCGGTCACGTTGCTGAGCAGCACTATTATCGTCCACATTATCCAATGTGCCATCGCTGCCACCACCCTGGACCATAGAGATGCCAACTGCAGCGTCATGAAGTTCGTCAGAGACCTCATTCACACCGGGGTCACCAATGACGTAAGCGGCATGATGATCAAACTGAACAGGAATGAAAGTCTTTTGGTTGGTTTAGTCATTGCATAAAATGTTTTTTCTTGTCTTTCAGCATGAGGATGACTTTGAGATTCGAAAGCGTCTGATTGGCCAGGTGATGGAGCAGCATGGGCAGCAGCTAGTGACTCAGCTGATCAACACCTGCTGTTTTTGCCTGCCGCCTTACACTCTGCCTGATGTGGCGGAGGTACTCTGGGAGATCATGGTCTTTGATCGGCCGGTATGTTTGTACTCTTTTTGAACACTTTTTGAATGTCCCTCAAATACAGATTTACTTTTATGCATTGCAACCCTCTGCACACCTTGGCAATAGATTTGCCATTGGCTTGTACTTTTTTTTTTTTTTTTACGTGTCACTCTTTGTACAGATTTTTACAGATTTACGAGAATCTGTGCTAAACTTCTTCGCCTTTAACCCAAACACTAGCCCATTGAAATCTAACAATTATTAACCAATGGCTAACAATAGACATTATGTAGTCACCTAGCATTAGAATTTAGATGTATATGCAAGTGATTTATTCGCCTTGTAGAGGGTCAGACTCTTATGTAAAATGTGCTTGCATTTGATGAATACATATTGACATTTTACAGATATGAGGTATTTTAATATTTTAATTTAATATATTTAATATTTTTATTAAGATAACCTTTTTTCCCCATCCAATTTAAAATGTATCCATGTTTTTCTTACAACACCCCAGCAATTGGGGATAAAATAATATAATAATGAGATGAGAATAAATAAGAAGTGAATACTATAAAAAATAAAATTTTATTTTTGATCAATTTCATATTTTATTTCTAATTTTATTATATTATTTTATCCATATGAACCCATTTAAGCTTCCATTCTAACATTTCTTATCTATCATCTGTTTTTCTAATAACTTTATTGCCTTCAAAACATTCAGACTCTAATCTTTAAAACTATTGTAAACTTCAATCTATTTCAAACTGAAAACCGCCAAACTTTTAAACCTTTTTTTTAAATGTTTACTTTTTAAAACTTTCTGGTCTGGCTTTCTCATGTCAACTTCAAAGTTTGTCTTGACGAACTTGTTTATCTAGTTTTATTATTTTATTTTTAATGTGATAACCAGTGTTTTACTAAAGATTTTGAAACATTTATTTACTATTCCTGTCTCTAGCCTTTTAAATACATTTCAGAGATCTTTCAGTATCATTTTCCTTTCATAAATGAGGCTGTGACGTCAATTGTCACATGTTGTGGCTGTCTCTGTGTCTGTAGACGTTTTGCCGCTGGCTGGAAACCACACTGAAGGGTCTTCCAAAAGAAACGGCAGGAGGCGCTCTAACCGTCACACACAAGCAGCTCACCGACTTCCATAAGCAGGTCACGAGGTGAGCTTGTGCCCGCCGTCACCTGAGCCTTCAAAGAAGGCCGTGAACATCAGATAATTTCATTATCATTTCATTACACTCCCGAGGAAATTGGCCTGTTCCTTAATTAAAAGTGCTTTTGCCTACAATTAAAAGTAATATAGTGCTCGTCAGTGTAGATTACAGGCAACATTTGTCTTTTGAGGTATTGCAAGTTGGTGCACGTTTAGTTCTCCTTGTGGTTAGCTCAGCACGGCATGCATAAACAAGTTCCCATAACCAGTCGTCCAAGAGAGTGAAGTATCTCATACTTCAGCAAGTCTTGACCTGAGGAACGAGGAGCCTCCCAGCATGGTGTCGTGCACAGATGCCAGATACATATTCTGACAATGCAGAATGAGTCACAGGCTTGCATGGAAAGTCCAAACCATGCCAGACTGATTGATGCAGCATCGATGTGTTGCTCGCCCGTGCGAGATGATTAGTAATAATGATTAGTAATAATGGAGCAGCTTATTGTTTATTAGTTGAAGAGTGATGCTAATTTGCTCTGTTTCTCCATCTATCTATCAATCTGTCACCCCAGTGCAGAGGAATGTAAACAGGTTTGTTGGGCGATAAGAGAGTTCACCAGGCTGTACCGATAGCTGTCTTTTACCTGCTGATGCTGCAAGACCAGGTAACACAAGCATATTGAACACTACATTTGTAATGTTATTGTGCATAACATGGAAACTTAATCCTCAGTGAATGAAGTTTATTTTAATTCAAATACTCGGATGAATTCATTTAAAATGTATTTTTTGCTTTCTTTATTGTCTTAAATCATTTTAAAATGAACGTTATACTATATATTTATATTAAATATGTAAGATGTAATAAAATCATATATTGCAATATATTAATCTATTCTATTGATATATTAAAATAATGTTTAAGATTTAAGTTTTACATTTATTTAATGTAATTATTAATTCATATAATCAAAGTAATTTAAATATTGTATTTTTTGCTTTTATATTTGTTGTAATACATTTGTGTTAATTTATTTTAAATGGAACTATATTATATATGTAATAATTATTATATAAATATTGTATTACAGAATCTTAATAGTAAATTTAAATATTGATTTTTTTTAATTATAAAATATTATAATATATAACAAAATATAATGTAAATATATCTAAAATATTTATTATTTTATTATAATTTCTGGAGCTGGAGTGTTTACAAAATGCTGATTAAAAAAAAGAAAGCATTATACAAGAATAATTTTTTCCCCCTCTCAAGTCAAATCCAGTCTTTTTCCCCCCCACATTTTTTTACCTGTGCTGAATCACAATTAATTGTATCAAGTCATAAGCAGATTAAGTTTACATTAACTTAGATGTTGTCAGAAAACATCTCTCTTTTTTTTTTAAAGTCACAAATGACTGGAAATTCATGTTCAAACATGTTGTAATATAAATATTTTGAATAAATTCAGCATTATAAAACGTTCTCTCTCGTCCTCTGCAGGTCAGATTTTTTTGTTTTGCTAACATTTGGAGGAAGTGGCAAAGGGAGCCATGATGACCACTGTTGAGAAACTAAAGGGAACTCTTGTATGAAGGATCTGTGGGACTTGGCAAAATGGGAAAGCCGACCAATTGAATTGGAGCTTTGGAATGGCAGGGTTTCAGGAAAAGCAAATTGCCTTGTGGGTGTCAAAAGACCGCAGCCCCATCCCTCCCTTTTACCCCGAACGAGCACACAGATGCCAGCCACAGCGAGAGAAGGGGGGATATTTCGGAAGGGACACCGTCGTCTTGTGGGAGGGGGGCCGTCGAATGGACACTGAAATACATACACCCATTTCAAAACATGGATGAACGTCTGCATCGGTCGGATTTCTGGGGATCCATCAAAAACCAACGACAAATAAGGATGTGCCTGGTTGCAAATCATAATGCATCGTTAAAAAAGAGAGACTTGTACGTTTTTAAAAACAAAAATGGAGATTTATTTTCATGGACGTGTGTTTAGAGATCAAGTTATGGCTTTGCTGCCAGTGCCATAAAATGATTACCAAACTAAAGATTGTCACAGCAGCATGTCCCACAGTCTGCGCCTGTGGGACATTTGCAAAGGGAGAGTTGGCGTCACCCTTGATCTTTTTAAAAGTTGGCTGGGATTTTATCCGTACAGGTTATGCTGTAAATTATGGAGTGGACTGACTGGCAGGGGCTTTTTTTTTTGTTTGTTCTTTCACCATATTGGCACATCTCGAGATGCAGAGATCGTCTTCGGCCGATTGTGTGAACAAATAAAACCAACATTGTGAGGAACAAACTAATCTTTGTCTCGAGTATCATTTCAGATGCACTCGTGTGTTTGAGAAGTGACTTATATTCTCTTTCTGCAGCTCTCAGAACCTGTTTGACCAGGTTTCATTTTAAGAAACTTACATGGGTCCTTTAGGTCTAGTTTTCTGAGTCATAGAGTAAATCGAACCCTCCTCTATTGTCTGAGATTTTCGAAAGCCCTACAATCATGTTTCTCTCACAATTGCATGTGTAAACCCTCAGGTCACCCCTCCCGCGTCCGATTTGCTGAATGAACGTTACGTGGTTAAGTCAGTAGTCATATCCGTTCAAGTTCAACAGGTTCGTGTTACTGGCACGGACCCTATAGGATGAGGTCAGCAGATATTATCCACCTGCTCTCGTAATGTTTGTAAAGGACTTGCATGAAATACGAGTCTTAAATCTTGAGTGACAGCTTATTTCAGGGTCGGAGTTGTACTAACGTTGCTCAAACATTCATGGGATGAATCATACTGTGGTAACCTGATCATGCCAGCAACCATTTAAAATACTGAAATGGTATTTATTGAAATATAACATTTTAAAAGACAAGTTTACATAAAGACAAGAAAGAAATGCCAAGTTTGGTCTCCAATGGAAATGTTTTCAGTATGGCATCAGAGAGGGCACCGATATATTCCAGTGTTCTAAAGGACCTCCAATTCTGAGCAGGCAATTAGCAAGATGGCATTGGTGAAGGAAACAATTGGCTCCTCCTTCAGTTAGTGGATATTTTGAGCCCAGGTGTGGTGCGTGTTTTGACTCTGCAAAAGTCTGTGGAGCTCTTTGAACTGCTCCACCGTTTGGTCTTTTAAGTCAGGGTTGGAGATCTGCAACCGAATGCTGTCTGTCGACCACGAAAGCTCGCCTGAAAACATCTCGGTAAGGATTCTTGCAACAACTGGAACAACCTAGATAAAGACCAAAAAAAAAGGCAGGTTTTAGTAGATTTAGCTGATGCGGTTTATTAAACCAAGTTTATTTTGCTAAAGCAATCTATGCTAGGTATGAAAATCATAAAATTTTGAAGCAAGTTTAGTTCTGGATGCTTATTGGCTAAAATACAACATCTGTTCATCTAGTTATAGTTGTGCTATATTGAGAACACAATTCTGCATGTTCCATAAACACAATTTATCAATATGGTAAAGAATGCTAATATAAGAATGGTCCTAATATACATTATATAATAACAGCTGTGACTTGAAAAAAGTTTGCGCACCTAGTTATAGCAAGTATGTTGTGAATACAATGCTGCACATGATTGTTAACACCACATGGTTTGCTATATATAAAATCTAGCTCTGGTTCTGGATGCTGATTGGTTAAAATACACTATATAGTAACATATTCGACACTAAACAAACACCTGTTTGCCTAGTTATATCTATGCATCGGTGCTAAAAACGCAATTTAGCATGGTTTTGTTAGCTTTGACGAACATTACATTATGAAACTGTTTCTGGGTACTGATTGGCTATAATACACTATACAGTAATATATTTGCCATCAAACATCCATTCGCCTGGTTATAACTGTGCATTGTTGCTATGGAATTTAGCAATATAGCATGATTTGCTAGTTGTGAAGAATGTTAAATAAAAAAAATAGCTCTGGTTCTGGATGCTGATTGGCTAAAATGCAATAAATAGTAACAGCTATAATGGCAAACACCTGTTCACCTAGTTATTGCTTGTGCATCGTTGCTAACAACACATTATGGTATGGTTTGCTAGGTTTAAAGAATGCTACATCATAAAACAGCTCAGGTTCTGGATGCCGAATTGCTCAAATACACAAATAACATATCTGACATGACACCAGTTCACCTAGTTGTTGTGAATTTAACATTGTGAGTCATTGCTAACAACTTGATTTAGTGATGTAGCACAGCATTGTATACCAACCATAAACAACTAAATAGAGTCTTTGCACTCTGAAGTAAACCAATTAACATGGATTTCATCTCCAAACCTGGACAATGATGAGCTTTTTCTCCTTGGGCTTCCTGTCTGGCCAGTCCTCACCGAAGCAGAAGTAGATCTCAAAGGGTGGTGGAGTGGGCGTCTCTCCTTTCTGATACAAAATGAGACCTGAGAAGAAAAAAACAAAATAGCCATTTTGTTAGACTGAATCTTTTACATAGCAAATCAACAAAATGATCCCAGCCGGTCATATGCATATTTGACATCTCTTGAGAAAATTCCTGCATGTGAGTTCGGAAGTGTTTTTTTTATATATATACACATAATAAAATGGATGTGTTGGGCAATTTTGTATTTTCTCTTTTTCACTTCCCAGAAAAGACAGGAAGCTTCTGAATCAGCGGAACAAAATAAAGAGCAAAGGGTGCTTAACTGGTGGTCTATGTATTTTAACATTGTTGCGCTGCCATAGAGAATGGATGTGAACGTTTTGTCACCTCATAAATCAGTTACATTTCTGTCAAGTTTTAAAGCTGTTCTTCATTAACAGTACATAAAATGCATAAACGTGTCAATAAAACCATTCTTCCAAACTCAGAAACTTGAGACTCAAAGAAAATCCAGGGGTTGTCAGTTATGAATCCCAATCCAGTCTCATATGTGCTCAATTGTTTGTCAGTGCTCTAATGCGGTCACAATAAATTAGATTGCACTTATTGAAATTCAAGACTGATTCCTCTTACACTGAAGGAAGTTGTTCAGACTGAAGACCCTGATCTTCATTTCTCTTTCCATTGGATTGGGCGGACCCTGCTCGGGCACACCTGGCCCAGACCAGAACACTTTACACTGGCACAGCCTGATGGCGTAGATATCTTGTCCCCTGATCTCCAAAATCAGCCCTCGGTCCATCACATCCAGCAGATGATCGGTATAGAACCTCTGCTTCTCGTTCTGGATCTCAGCAGTTCCTGGGAACAGCACCTGCTGCAGTGTTACTGGACCGAACAGCTCTACTTGCTCTGGTGTGGGCGCCAGGTTACCGTAGTAAAGTCTACAACCCTGAGGGTTACTGACGTTCAATGAACCAGCTGTCCGACCCCTGTACTGGAACTTGATATCCAGATCAGTCACTAGAGAAGAGAAAACAAGGAACATTTTATTGTCATTTACTCACCATTGTTTCTTGGTCGTTTCAAAAAGAGATGTTTAGTACAATGTCAATGCTTTCCATGCAATGAAAGTGAATGGTGATAAAGTGATATAAAATTACCCAAGTCATTATAAAAATACAATAAGTTTGCGTGAGAAACAAATATACATTTATATTGATCATTGAAAATGTTCTCGACAGCTCTCAAATTCCACTCACCTTTTTGTATCTGGTGTATCAAGATATGTTAGGCTAGTTTTGACATCAATTATGGCAGATGTCAATTATGTCAAATATCAATGGTTCTTGTAACGGAGCATGATGTGTCGAATTTGCAAGAGCGCATATTTAAATAGCATAACTGACATTTGAATTCTATTATATGATTTCTTAAGACTTGAAATTTGGTGCACAAGTCATTTGGACAAATCTTGTGATAATTTTATAGTGCTTTTTTTTTAATAACTTTGAAGGTTTTTTGGGGAGCTTTGGTCACCATTTACTTTCATTGTATGGAAAAGAGCAGCATTAACATCCAGCCTAACGTTCTCCTTTTGTGGTCTATGGAATTACAAAAGAGTGAATGATGACAGACCTCAACTTTTTCTTTAATAACAGATTACCAGTCTAACAACTGAAATTTTCATAATACAGTTAAGGTGTGCATTATATATGTTTGTAGTGGCTCTATACACACCTCTTGCAAAGTCATTTAACATCAGCATTACTCAAAGTGAACGCTGTGGGACTAGGTTTTTTCTGCAATTTAGGTATGTCTTCATCATAAACTGCAACATTAATCCAGAAGAACAAGGCATTAGAGGCTTACAGGGTAACATGTGCGGACTGCTCAGCAACTCTGAGATGCAGGGATGAACCTGGTTCTCCGCTTGAGCTGGCACCTCTTGCATTGGGCTGTCCACTATGGCTGGAGGGCCTACAGAATGAGTGACTACATCTTGAAGACCAGGAGGCGGTATGACTCCAGTCCCCATTCCCAGACCATTCGGAAGTCCCCCACCATGAATGGGATATGGCGTCTGCTCAACTTTGATAGCACTGTGACTGGGAAATTCAGTCAAAGAACCAGCCGAAGGTCCAGTGCTGGGCTGGGAGAGGTGAGAGGTCATAGGAGCACCTCCACTGGGGTTATTATGGACAACTTCTCCTAAGAGGTTCATTGGAGGGTTATGGTGGGTGGGATTATAGCCGTCAGCAATAGAAGAGGTGAACAGAACGTCAACTCTAGGAGGATATGCTGGGTAGCTGGAAGTGTCTGTCAAGCACCATGCAAAAAGTAATTACTGTATGTATAGATTATCAACAGTAATTTATTCTAAACAACATCCACTTCGAAATCTTACCAATGGAGAGTTTGACAAAGTTTTGCAGCTGAAATACAAAACAATAATTCAATTACTATATGAAGACAATGGCAAAAATGGTGTGGATTTTACTATTTATTTCTTTCAACTTGCAGTTATTCAAGCTATTCTTCTACGCTCTATGCTCTTCAGAACTTACCTCCTCTTCCTCATCGTCTCCAGCATCTAAAATCAACAAAAGAAGAGATGATTTATTAGCTTGTCCATCTTTTAATCCTTAAAGACTTCTATGGTTTCATTCCTGTGTGGATATTTCCTACTTAAACAAGAAGTTGTCGTGGGAAAAATTGAATAATCTGAGCCAACCAATTGAGATCTTATGAGCAAACAGTGTTGTTTCAGCAAGTATACCATGTTACTGGTTTGTAGGCATGCGTTCCCGGTCCTTACCTCCATTGATTGACTGGTCGCACACCTCATAGATCTTATAAGGCTGGACGGGGGTGTCCTTAGTGCCATCATAGTGGAGTCCGAACTCTCGGCTTTTGTTTAGGGCACAGCGGAGGTTGGCCTTCCATTTGGC